GTAATATTATTTTATGGACAAATTAATGTTGATCAATGGTAGAGCACTTCCCCAGCATGTTCAAGGCCCTGTGTTTGATCCTCAGTAACAAAAAATCTCTATTTAAAGATGTTTTGTATACTTACAATAGTTTCAGAAAATTATCAAATCTTATTTTAATTCCTAAATTTATGGAGTAGATAGGAAGACAGTATACTCTTCAAAGACATTTTTGAAAAACAAAATGTACTAAGTGACAATGTATCAGTGCTATTAGGTACCCAAGGCAGGTAGGTAACTTGTTCTTACAGGGAAATCTAGTCTTGCAGCTTCCTTGAATCAAATAGAAATAAAATACAAAGTTTTATATATTAGTTGATTTCCTTATCAGTTGAGTTTGCAACATTTTCAAGTGGAGCTAGACCAGGTGTTGTAAATAGATTCTAAGTAAAGTTTAGCATTTAATGGATGCAAATAAGTAGAAAGAATAACCAACCAACTAAAAAGAAAATAAGCTTCAAGCTTCAGAACATCCAAAACATAATTAGTCCACAATAGACATAGTGTTGCTTTTCTTTAATCTCAGCACTTGGATGAAAGAAGCAGGTGGATCTCTATGACTTTGAGGCAGCCCATTCTACATATCAAGTTACAGTCCAGCCATAGTTACATGTTGAGACCTTGACTCAACAAAACAATGGTGTGTGTGTGTGTGTGTGTGTGTGTGTGTGTGTGTGTGTGTGTGTATGTGTGTGTGTGTGTGTGTGTAGTTCAAATGGTATGCACAAAAAATATATATTTTGGTTTTTCGAGACACGGTTTCGAAGGATTCATATTGATTAAAAATATATGGCCCAATTTATATGTTGTTTACTACATACATATATAAATATATATGAGATAAATAGAGAAAGAAGCAAATTCATGATAGAATCAAATTCTTGAAGATCCCAAATACTAGTTTCTGGTAATTTTGAAGTTTTATTTCTGGGCTAAACAGTATAGAATGCCCCTTTATTATATATTTTCTAATGTCTGATGTATTACACAATTTAAATACTTCAACATTTTCCGTTTATATGTGTATTAGTATAGCCACATATTATAAATACACATCAGTAGAGGGAATTATTATACATTCTAGTAAAATACATTTATAAGATAATTTACACAGTATATAATTAGTGTACTAAAAGTTTAAAATTTTTTTTCCTATCACTTGAGGCCAAGTATCATTTTCACCTGATTTTAAGATAATCATTGTTAGATAGAATCGGTCAAATATACACAGTGGTGCATTATTATCATGTGTTCAGGAAAAAACACAAAAAGGATGTTAGTATAGTTTGCTCCCACCTTTGTGCAGCGACAATTCAATGATGAATACTCATCACAGACTATAAGTCATAATATAATGTCCTCCTTTCTGATTGGAAGTATTCCCTGCTATTTATAGGGCAGATAATCAGGGCAAAATAATTATCTTCCTTCAGTAGTTACTTCTGAATTAAAGGATTTAATCTAAAGAATGAAACCATACTAAGATGTGAGTGCATGTTAGGTTTTCTTTAAAGCATAATCGATTATTTACAATAAAATGCTGTTTTCTCACTGATAGTGGGCAAGTACATAGTTAGCTGCAATATGGGCACTTGTTGAAGGAAGAACACTATGTGTGTAGCTGATGGCTAGTGTGAAAGTTCCTGTTTGTTTCTAATCATGATTTTCTTATCACTATGTATTACTCAGTGCTATTCAAAGTTTGCAATATCTTACTATTGACTATTATTTGTTGTTCTTTAAATAATACAAAAATCACTTCCAACTATCTTTTAGATTTATCCTAGAATTCTATATAGGTAAGCTTTAGTTCAAATTTTAGAACCAATTTGTAATCTATAAGCCTTTAATTATTTTTTCTTTTTTAATATTTTCCAACTACTTGCTAATTATAAATTAAAATCCCTAAGTGCATTTGGTTATTGTTGATTTGTACCACTGATAATTATATTCTGTTTGATGTGCTTATCTCTGATGATGTTATGATTTAAGTGAAAACAATCTCTACTCAGTGGGATTTCTTTCTTTCTTTTCCCTTTTCTTTTTTCTTTTTCTTTTTTTTCCTGACAGGGTTTCTCTGTGTAGATTTTCGTCTTTCCTGAAACTTGCTTTGGAGACCAAGCTGGCCTCGAACTCATGGACATCCTTCTGCCTCTGCCTCCCGAGTGCTGGGATTAAAGGCATGTGCCACCACCACCCAGCAGTGAGATTTCTTGCTATTTTAAGAGGGATATGATCAATAAATAGGGACTCATAGTCCAGGAAGAACAGCATGGAATGTGAGGAGGCCATTCTGGGGCAGACATATTGCTCAGTTTTATAAAATTAGTGGCAGACTTTAGGAAGACGAGTCAGGATAGCAAGAATAAAGAGGAATGAGTTTCCAAGTTAAGGATGGGGAAGATTAGGGTGAAGAATGATATACACAAAAAATGAAACCTGTTCATTTGTTTTTGAGTTGAAGTAAGGCAACACAATTATATGGTGTAAGTTAATACAGCAATCTCAAACAGTAACTAAATGTGCATAAACATTAAATAAATTCATAGTAAATCACAGTTTGATATTATTTTCTTTATTCAAAAGGATACTAGACTTAGGACAGAATACAGTTGTAACATCCCATCCTTATTGTAGTTTTACTGAGGATTCAGATAATCTGGAGGTGTTAACAAGCAATGATTTGTTTGTATAACTGAACTATTTTCATACTAGTGACACACATGAAATTTAAAGAGTTTGGATGTATATGTCTGCCAAATTCATATGTTGAAATCTGCACTTCTAGGATGTTGGTATCAAGAGATGGCGTTGTTGGAGGGCATACACATAGGAGGGTTGAGACACATTTTTTGACTATGAATATCTCAGCTTCCAGAATGGGGAACAATAAATCCCTGTCTCTTATAAACTATCCACTGTACAGAAGTTTGTTAAAACAGCACAAATAGACAAAGACGTCAATATCCTGCAAATTATTAAGAGTATTTCATTTGTACCTTACCCCCAATGTCTAGAAAACTGATTTGGAAACAGTATACGCTTCAGGAGTAAAAAAATATTGATGCCAGTTAAGAAAATATTATCAATAATAGATCCTTCAGAATTTCATTAGTACTTATAAATTATCCTACTAATGTAACACTTCCACTTTCATGAGATGAAATAACAATATGCTACTGAATGCAAATGTTCTACCTGCAAAAGTACTTATGTGTCTATTTAGAGGAAAACAGGCATTAATCGTATGTTTTTACATGGAATTCAGCAATGTTTGCACTAATTTTTAACTACTTTTGGTGAAGTTATTACAGCATGACTTCATAATTCATTTTTCTAGTACGAATGTTTATTTTTATCACCTAAGTCTCTTTGAATTTTATATGGCTGAAAATAAATATGAAAAGTTCAAAATAATTTTCTTTTGTTTAAGAAGTATTTGGTTCTAGTTCATAGAATAGAATCTCATTAGATTCACACACACCAACATATACACATGGAAATGAAAGATGAGGAAAGATGGGTCTCTTTATCTCAAAAATTTCGTGTTAACAATTGAACCAAAACTGTTACAAGAAACTCAGCTTTGACTACCTTCAAAGGCAATGGAAAACCAGAATATGAAAAGCATTTTTTTAATTTTTTTTACATTTTTTTGTACATTTAGCAGAATCTTTCTTTGGTTAATCAGACTTTCCCAATGAGCAGTAATAATTCATAACTTTATAGATAATGGACTATGATAGGACAGATCTGAGTCAGTGCTTGCCTTAGAATCAGCTGTAGATGCCATAGGAATGTAGATGATGGGATCAGCTTGGGTCAGGGAGGGGGTTTGGAGAGGTACCTGGCAGAGCAATTACCTAGTGAAGGTGAATAAGTTTGCTGTGAATATAAATGCCTATTGTATTTATCTCTCATTTTTAGAAATAATAAATATTATTTATTTATAGATATTGCTAAGTGAATTTCAAACAATGCTTTCCATATTTCTATTTTAACATGAATGTAAATGTTTTTTCAATATAGAAAATATATTTTTAAATTTTTCATTGTAATATAATTATGTCATTTTTCCCATTCACTCACCTTGCTTCAAATTTTCTTATATATCTCTTTTTGTTCTATTTTGAATTCATTCCCTCTTTTGCCATAAATTACTGTTTAATGCATATATGCATATGGACATTCATATGTATTTGTAAATTCTTAAATACAAGCTGTTACTTGTATGTGTGTTTTCAGGGCTGACCATTTGGTTTTGGATAACCAATTGGTGTTTTCTTCCCTAAGAAAGTCTATTTCTCCCGTTCTCAGTGTTCCTTTGTTGCCTGTAGTTCTTTATGTAGGACTAAGGTCTCATGATCCTTCCTTCCCCATCCACTTTAGCATGTATATAGCTCTTGTTCCTGATAAGGTCATGTTTAAACAGTCTTGTTGGTGAGACTTTAAAGGTGTAGCTTCTGACAGTACTAAGAGACATGCTCACAAAAACTCTGATCCTCTAGCTCTTACAATCTTTCTCTCTCCTCTTTCACAATGTACCCTGAGCCTTAGGTGAAGTTGTTGCTTTATTCAGTCGGACGAGGTTCCTCAACTCTGTGCTTTGATTGGCTGTGATTTTTTGTAGCAGTCTTTGTCTGTAGCACAGAAGAGTTTCACTGATGAAGAGTGAGGACTACACTTACTTGTGGGGATAAGGACACATATTTAGAATGCAGTTAGAGATCATGCTGGTTTAGTCAAGTGGCAGATGTAGTTCTCTTCAAAGATCCAAGATTTCATTAGCTCTGAGTAGTTGGTTAGGTTTCCAGTACCATGATTACTCTCCTGTTAAAAAGTCTTTAGAGAGGTGCTTGTTCCTGCCAAGTGTGACAATACTTAGAGCTATTATGTCACACTGGTCATGGTTACCATAGATGTCATTGCTGGATAGGACTGCTAGTTGCTTTCCTCCTTCAGAAGCTTGCATGGTTTCCTCAGGAAGGAGGCATTGAAGTCAGTTTCAGTTGAGGGGTCTCTTGGACCTATGTCGGAAGTGTATGGTGTTTTCAACAGTAGGACTTACTTTCCACCTCAAGAGGCAACTAAAGGCAGCAGCAATAGTCCGCAAGTTTTGTGAGTCTCTAGAAAACCCTGACCAAAAGCTCAAAAAGAGGTTTCTGGTATACAGTGTTAAGGTTTCTGTTACGTGGTTGTTGGCTCTCAGAGGAAACGTTGTTAACCACAATGAGAAATTTCATTTAAATTATTCATGTATATTTATATACAGACTTACAATTATCATTTTGATTTTTTAGTAGATACTTGATAGTATGATTACTTACGACTTTTTTTTCAGATATCCTTAATGTTATTTTACCCTCTTCTCTCTTTCTTTCATATTTATCTTCTTCCATCCTCCCTAATTAGAGCCCCTTTTTTTTCTTATTTTCCTGATCAGATCACCTTTCTTATTCTATCTTAAATCTCTATATCACATAAACAAATCTGCATTAGAAGATACTTTCCATTCCTAGGATCCCATTATATATGCTTATTTCATAATAGTAATCATTTTTAAAAAGTATATTTGAAGATATCCAGGAGATGCAAAAAGTACAGCCTATTCTATATATTCTGGCAATATTTTATAATAGCCATGTAAGAAGTGGTAGCCTAGAATATCTTTTAAATAGTTGAATCTATCACATCAAATGTCACCAGTCATTTACAGGAGAAACCCATAGAGTTTTTAATAATAATTCACTCTCCCATGTAAAGTCTTGGGTAAAATAAGAATAACTTGAGAATTTGGAGTTGATGAACATTTGTGTTTTTCCTTGTAAATTAATAAATTGTCTTTTAGTATCTTGTGTTGCCTCTTGTAGTAGAATATTGTTTCAAGGTGTGTTACTTTCGTTTATGTTCTGGAACATTTGTTTAATAATGCAAAGATGTGTTTGATTAAAAAAAATTCACCTGTAGTCAGGAAGCTGCGTCAGCAATTAGCTGACAGGAAGCAGTAGGGAGGAGCCAGATGGAGAAGGGTTTTTTTTATGGAGGGGCGAGGAGAAGCACAAGGGCTTTGGGGAGGAGGAGAGCAAGGAGAAGAGGTGAGCTACTTGCTATTCAGCCACTCCGAAGAGCGGGATTCCACCTTAACCTTTGAATCTTAAGTTCTTTAGAGGGACAGAGGTCTAGTTAAGTTTCTTTCATAGCTGTGCATGAGTCGGAGCCTGAGGGAACAGAATTTTCTCTGGCCAGGGCCCTTGCAGCAAAACAGCTGCTGGTAGAGGCAGAGTTACAGTTGCTGATTCGGACAGGGATGGCTTAAAAGGCAGCAACAATTAAATTAAAGGACAACAACCTCCTTTCAACCTGATAAGTGGCATCTGTCTGTGGAATCCATGTTTTCTTAGTGAGCTGGCTAAAATGACTTCTGATCCTGCCAGGCTGAGAAGCAGCCTTGGTAGAACAGGTTTGTCATGGAGAGAGAGGATGCTGGGCAATCTGGTTGACTGAATGAAGAACTCCAAGTGAACTCTCTCCCTTTGTCTCATTGTACACAAATTTAGAAATGCAAAAGAAGTTTTGTTTTGGTAGCTTCTCAATAAATACATAGACAATTATTAGATACATCTGTAAAGAAAACAGAGTGTCTTCTTGCCCCGTACCTTAACCTTCTTTTTACTTGATTTCTAAGGGAAAATATTTTTGTTGTTTTTTTAAGAAAGACAGCAGTCTTTTCATGGAAGTGGGGCATCAGAACCTCAACTCTGTCTCTCTGGGCTCCCTGTGCACAGTTTGTTGGTTGCAGACATATATTTCTTCCAAGATAAGTGTATGCATGTCTGTTTTTCCATGTAATGGATTGAAAAGGTGCATGATACGGAATGCTTATGTTACCAAGGGTTTCAAATGTCATAACTTTGAAACAAAAACTTTCAAGTCCCCACAGTGACTGTAAACAGAATCAGGAAGAGCTTATGTAACCAAACAAATAATCCTTATTCCATTTATCCTTTTATTTCCTCTTTTTATATGATGATTCTTAACAAAACTCCAGAAATCAGTACTGGCTGCAATCTCATTGCTTCATTGTCAGCAATGAAATAGAAACAGAAATCAGTTACTCACCATTACACCCTTCTGTAATTCACTGGAACATCAAATCAGATTCCTCCAACTCTAGTAAGGTCTTGTCTTTAAGTTTCTGGTAATAAAGTGCCCTAGCACTAGGCCAGATTTTTAAGTAATGTTCAGAGTTCAGGTGAACCCTGTGCTGGGTGTCACCCTGTGTCGTCTCCTGCTTTGACTGTGGTGATTTTGGTGGTGCCACTGAACCCTGTCATTTGTTTTTAAAAGAAAGCAAACAAGGCCGCTGTATTCATTGAAGGGATGAAATTATTCATTTTATATTATACCATAAACTCCAATGTGTTACTCAAAAGGATTCAGCAACATTCTTTATGTGATTGAAAAATAAAAGTGTTCAATGAAACATCCTAAATGTATTCTTTTCTGCATTCCAGTTTTTCTCTCCAGAATCATTCCCAGTTCTCCTTTATTAAAATATTTCTAAGATAACATACAAAACAGTGAGTTTCATTGACCTCTGCTCCAACGTCCCCTTTTCCTTATTTGTTGTGCAGACCCCCCCTTTCCCCAATACTCCCATCCATTCTATTTTCATGTTACATGAATTTCATTAACCTCCTTCCCTAACCATTTCCTCTCTATTTAGGTCTTCTTTTCTAAAATCCTTCTTATCATGCATGGTTTGTTTTTGTTGCTGTGTTGTTATTTTTTAACTTGACACAAGCTAGAGTTTCTGGGGAGAGGGAACCCAATTCAGAAAATGCCTCTATCAGGCAAGTCTATTGAGCATTTTCTTTATAAACTGATGCAGAAGGGTCAGCCCTCTGTGAATAGTGCCACCCCTAGGTAGGTGGTCCTGGGGTGTATAAGACAACAAACTGAGTAATCCAGGAGGACCAAGATGGTAATCAGCACTGATCCATGGCTTCAGGTTCATGATCTGACTTCCTTTGATAGGCTACAGCAGCTCTTGCCCTTCCTCATCAAAGAAACACTGAGTTTCTGCACCTTCTAAAGTTAAAACCCAAGCAATAGATGCACAGATGCTTCACAAACCTATGAGAACACTGATCTTCCTGAGTCTAGCCCCACATGAAATTTCACTCAGATTTATAATATAGTCACCACTCTAAAAAGGAAAATTGAACTAATATTATACCGTTTATTAACAATGGAATATTCCCAGCTTCTTACATTTCATTACAACAACTTTTGGAAAGTTTGTTCCCATAAATATTCAGTATAAAGAGGGATTTGTGATTTGTTAGCCAGTGGTGTCTGGTACTTGCATCTTTGAACACATTGTTAATTAACTGGCAAACAAGTTTGGAATGTATGTGCTTCAATTCTCCCTGTTATTTCTATATAATAATTTTATTATATATTAAAGAGTACTTTCCAAATGACCTTTATTCAGACAAAGTAGCACTTGAGGAAATAAAGGCAGAAAAATAATATTAATTTAATAAAATGTCTCTCAGTGCAAATCAAAGAATATGTATTATATTATGGATCCCAGTGCCTAATGGTATTCATTTTCATCAGAAATTTACTCTCCATAGATATAGTAAAAATAACATGCAAATTTGCCCCACTGTGAATGAGATCAAGTCATGCCTATGTGTGTGATGTCATTTACACAAAACCTGGACAGTAATAGCCTAGAACCAGTGGGCAGGGATCTCTGTTCCTCGGTGCTTGCAATTCCTCTTACCTAATTAACTCTTACACTGCTGTGGTAAAATGATTGCTTTGCTTTAAATTACTTGATAATGTGCCACTGTCTTTTGATTTTTACACATTTGCCATTCCTTTGAACCAGCATGTGCTCTTTTTTAAACAATGTTTCCTTATTGTACAACCTAGGATGTACCAAAGAAATTATGAAAAATAAACAATGAAATTAGCAAAGATTACCATTTCCTAAGCAAGATGAGCTCCTATCAGAAGATCACCATAGTTTCAAATGTATGTCTTCTCTTCCAGATGACTATGAAAGATATAAGCCTAGACACTAGAAAATGTTCCAGATGAGCAGAAATTGTTAGATTCTATTCTAGCAACATTGAGCCAAATTTTTCCAGCGTGTAGCCAAATGTTCCTTATGACTGGCTGGTCTATTGTAACATTTTAAAAGGAATATGTATTGTACTTCATGAGATTACAATATTTCGTCCTGATTTTTAGAAGGTGACTCCCCCAGAAGTCACATACACATCAAAACTTTAACTGAAGCTAGATCTGTGCTTTTCTCCCATGCTGGCTACTTAGATTTTTGTTGACTTTCCCCCTGCTATGGTCTTCTTTGGAATTTGGGTAAAAGCATATTTATGCTTTTAGAAATAACAACACGATTTCTAAAATGTTTTAAAGCTTTTGAAGCATTTCATATTTACTCTGTGACAGAATCTTAAAATAAATGTAGATAAGGCATATATTGGTATTACCCTTCCACCACAGCTATAAATGCAGTTAAGGTGTATATTGGTATTACCCCTCCATTATAACTACAAACCTGGGGTTCCAGGCATTAATTGATAGAGACTTCCTTTCAGACTCATTAGCTAAATTGTGCTATTTGACATGATTTTCCATTTCTAAAATATTTACTAATTTTCCAAGGAAAACATATCAGAATCACTTAGGTTGAAACTAGATTCTGTATCACATATGCCAATATTTTAATTAACCTACACAATATTGAATGTATGCCAGAAAATATTAGATGACTAAATAACAAGCAAATTGAAAAGTTCAAGCTAAACGTATCAGTCTTGTGATAATTAAAACCATCTTGCTTATTTTGAATTTTAAAAAGTAGCCATAAGTTAATTGTCACAGGTTTTGTGCTTTTTTCATTTAAAAAATCTGTTTATTTATTTATTTTCTTAAATTCAAGATGATAATAGACATGATTAGACAAGAGCATGATAACCATTGAAGTATATGTTACTTTTAATTTTTCAATTTAAATAATTTATAAGTATTTTCCTATGGGGCAATAGCTTTTATTTTAGCCTAAGCTGTGCAGCTGCAAA